AAAAAAAAGAAGAAAAAGAAAAGCGGAGCAAAAAAAAGCAAATTGTGAAATTCAAGATAGTTGCAGTTTTAAATAAAAAAGTCTCTTACCCGTATGTACCGATACTGGGTTTTCTGAGGATTCTTTTTCTTTTGGTACTTTTTTTGACATGCCAGCAGTTTTCTTGTAACCTTTTCTAGCCTGATCTACCAGACGATGAAATTCATTTTGATGTTTTTCACCTGAAATTCAAAAGATCTTCTTAGCAAAACAAGCACCATAAAATGGAGATACGCGTTATCAACTCACCCCAGTAAGAATAGCAAAATTTAACAGAACAGCAAACATCAAATGCTGGCGAGGTTGTGGAGAAACTGGAACCCTTATTCACTGTTGGAAGGGGTGTGAAATGGTGCAACCACTATGTAAGGCAGTATAGTGCTTTCTCAAAAAGTTGCAAACAGAAATACCATTTGGAAACCACAGCTGCCACCCAAGTAGATATATGCACACCCATGCTTTTTGCAGCTTTGGTCGTAATAGCAAAGAGCTGGAAACAACCCAAGTGCCCATCAACAAATGAATGGGTAGAGAAACTCTGGTATATTCACACAATGGAATACTATGCAGCACTGAAAAACAAGGAACTCATGAAATATTATTCAAAATAGGTGACCCTGGAGGACATTATGCTGAGTGAAACATCTCAGTCACAAAAGGAAAATATTCCATAGGGCCACTGTTCTAAAAAGGGACTGACATCAGAATTGATGGGTGACAAAAAAGGAGGGGAGGAATGATATATATTGCATTGAAAGAGCTGAGAAAGAGACTGTTTAAAAGGGACATATGAATGGGTAATCTTGTCATTACAGAAGTCCAGAGTGAAGGTGGCATAGTGGAGTGAACTTGGGGGGAGGGACTGCATAACAATGAAAGAGTTGTTTTGGTTTTTTTTTTCTTTTCAAGGAGAAGAGTGAATTGAGGGGTGAGGAAGAAAAGTGCAACAATGAATGACTGGAAACCCTAAGTCTCTGTAAACTTTCATTAAAATTAATTTTAAAAAATCCTGAATTTAAAAAAAGGAGATATGCACAACTAATAAGCTAGTATCAAAAAGTCAGAGCTATGGTAAGCATAGTTCAATGTCATAATTTTATAAAACATTTTGGATGGGAATGACTCTATGCGATACAATGTTATTGAAGGATAGGATGAAACACAATGTATACAAAGTCTATATACAAGCCAACATTAAATAAAAATTTTAAAAAACCCAAAGCACACAAATATATGAACATATACGAGTGCTAAATGATGAAATTAAGGTAATTTACTTTTTCTTGTGCAAGCAAATAAAATGAGTAGCTATTACATTTTTTAACCTAAATAGGAAAAAATTATATATACATATATGCTTACTCAAAAACAGCACCCTTAAGAATTACTTTACAATGAATTTAAAAGCTGCTAAGCACAATAATACAAATGTGAATATAGTATAATATTCCTATGAATAGTCCATATTCCACATAGGTTTTTAACAGAGCACTAAAGACACTACTTCTTTTAAATATGGAACGCTTCACAAATTTGGATGTCACCCTTGTGCAGGGGCCATGCTAATCTTCTCTTTATCGTTCTGATTTTAGTGTATGTGCTGCACGAAAGACACTATTTCTTTAAGTTAACCACTAGACAAGCTGCAAACTCAAAACACAAGAATCCAATTTCCAAGACATAGAAATGCACTAAGATGCAGAGTAGTAACTGGACTACAAAACCAAAACCTACTCATTCCAATTCTTTCCTTTTTCTTTACATTTCTATTTCCCATTCAAATTGCTTTTTCAACATTTAAAGAATTTCCTCTCAATCTACTTTAAGATATTCTAACACTAATCTTAATTTTCTACTATTTAAAATAGTATTGTTTTTTTCAAAGAAGAAAAAGACTACTTGGAAAAAAACACTTCATGCTGGGAAAGGTGGACGTCAGAGAAAGGGAGAGATCTTCAACAAGACGCAGGGTCACAGTCACCCTAACAATGGGCTTGTACATATCAGAGATCTTCAGGGTGGGACAGAATAGGGCAAGGTTCAGATGAGTTGTTCACAGGGTCACTGTAAATGTAGTAGACTCAATAGCACCTATCAGCAAAACAGCAGCAAGATTCATTAACCCTGGCCTTTTCTGTGTTAATTGAAAGGATTATGTGGTTCTTGTTCTATGATTTATTAATGTGATAAAGGACAATGATTGTTTTTCTTATGTTGAACCTCTTATGAATCCTACTTGGTCATGATGAATTATTTTCCAATATGCTGCTGGATATATTTATGAGATATATTGGTCTCTAGTTTTCTTTTTTGGTAATGTCATTACCTGGGTTGGTATTAAGTTTATGCTTGTTTCTTAGAATAACTCCAAGAGTGTTCCTTTTCTGTTTTTTGTTGTTGTTTTTTAAATAATTTGAGCAAAATTGGTGATAGCTCACCTCTGAATATTTGGTAGAATTCAGCCATCTGGACCAGGGTACCTTTTTATGACCTGCTCAATTTCTTCTTTTGTGATTGGTTTATTCAAGTGTTCTGTCTGACCATGTCAACGTGGGCAGTGTGTTCTGGGATCCTCATTCTTCTTACTGTTACTCACAATTTGTTATGATCCACACAGTCAAATGCCTTTGCATAATTAAAGAAAACATAAATAGGTCTCTTTCTGGTATTATCTGCATGCAGCAAGATCCATTTGACATCAGCAATGATAGCCATAATTCCATGAATTCTTTTAAATCTAGTTTAAATTTCTGACAGTTCTCTACCACTGTCCTAGTCATTTTTAATTAATCTTCCGAAATATTTTGGTTGCATGTGATATTAAGGACACAGTTCAAAAATTTCCACATTTGGCTGGATCATATATTTTTTAAATGGGAACAAATATGTATCTCTTCCAGTCAATAGGCCAGATAGCTGTCTTCCACATTTCTTGGCATAGATTATTGAGTACATTCAGGGCTGTATCTATTTGTGGAAACATGTCAACTAGTATCCCATCAATTCCTGGGATCTTTCTTTTTTTTTTTTTTTGCTACAATGCCTTCAGTGCAGCTTGAACATCTTCCTTCATTACTATTGGCTTTTGATCATATGTTACCTCCTGAAATGGACCTACCGATTTTGGTACAGAGACGTTATATATTCATTCCACTTTCTTTTACTAATCCCTGCATCATTCAAGATTTTGTTCATTGAATCCTTCATGTTCTTTTGGCAGTCCTTGGGTTGTTCAATGTTCTTCTTCAACATCACATCATAACTCAAAGGTATCAATTCTTCTGTCGTCCCTATCACTGTCTAGCTCTCAGATACTCTTCACTTTGAGCAAGTAAGGTTGTGTCATCTGCAAAACAAAGTTTACTGATGAGTCTTTTCCAATCCTGAGGCTACATTGTTCTTCAGAATCCTGCTTCTCAAAGAATTCGTTGCATACAGACTGTACAGGTATGGAGAAAGGATACAATTCTGACATACAACTTTCCTAATTTCAAACCATGCAGTGTTCTCTTGCTCTGTTCACATAATAACCTCTGGGTCTTGGGAGAGGTTTCACAGTAAATGTTCTGGGATTCTCATCCTTTATAATTTAAGCCTTAATTTGTTATGATCCACACAATCAAATGCCTTTGTGCATTTAACAGAAATAATAACAGAAACTGAATAGTCATTCTTCTGATATTCTTTGCTTTCAGCCAGGATTCATTTGACATCAGTAAAGATCTCTCTAGTGCCATGGTATCTCTTCTAAAACCAACTTTAACTTCTGGCAGTTTCCTGTCTACATTTTGTTCTAGCCATTTCCCCATGATCTCCAGCAGTATTTTGCTTGCATGTGATATTCATGACATTGTTCAGTAATCTTCACATTCTTGGAATCACCTTTCTTTGGAATGAAAACAAACATGGATCTCTTCCAGTCAATGAGCCAAGCAGCTGTCCTCCAAATTTCCCAGCATAGTCTGGTGAGTATTCCCAGAATGCACCTGTAATTTGAAACATGTCAGCTGATATCTCATCGATTCCTGGGGACTTACGTTTTGCCAAAGCCTTCATTGCAGCTTGAACTTCTTCATTATCACTGGCTGTTGATCATAAGATACTCCCTGAAATATTTCAATGTCAGCCAATTCTTTTTGGTTTAGGGACACTTTGCATTCCATCCTTCTTCTTTTTATGTTTCCTGGACCATTCAAGGTTTTGCCCATAGCACTCCTAAATACTGCAATCTGAGACATGAATTTTTCCCCCCCAATTCTTCAAACTTGAGAAATGCTGAGCAAATTCTTCCCTTTTTAGTCTTCAATTCTAGGGCTCTGCATATTCCATTTTCTAGTTTGCTTTGTCTTCTCAAGCTTTCAAAATCTTCTGTCCAGCTCTTTTATGTCACACAAACTAATTATTAAATAAAATATTTAAATGTGGAGATTTGTAGCCTAAAATATAATCAAAATATATGACTAAACTGTAAGGCTAAGTATTAAAGATTTTTTGAAATCCTTCAAGTTTTTTGTTTTGGTTTCTTTTAGAGCTAAATTAATTTAACATGATCTACTTATTAAAAATAAACTTCCGAAAAGCTTATATATTGTCTTACCTGTATCTAATTTATATTTTTCTTAAAGTGGTACAAACTATTAGCCATTATCCTTTTAGTGTTTTACATTACTTTACACAGAAATGTTCTGATTTTTATAGGCATTATTTTGAATATTCAGTGATCACTTTATAGTCCCTTCTTTATCTCCTCTGAAGAAATATCACTTCAGCTTCTCAAAAGTTAATCAAAGAATCTCATATCGTATGCCTCTTCCTAAAAACAAATCATCTAGGGTTTCATTTTTAGATCTACGGTCCATCAATGCCTAAGCTTCTTGTCCTGCTATATATAGTGAGGCATCAGCATCTATATCTACATTTAGAGCTGGTACATGGCATCCTCTCTCCTAACACAGGTCACTGCTGAACCTTTTCTTCAATTTTAAGAACTGGAAAACCAAAAAAATTCTCTTAGCACAACTGAACCACATCATGACTGGGAATACTCACTCAATACACTACTGTTTAAATCTAGGCATTTAAATTTAAACCAAATAAATAAGGATCTTTAAAACCATTAATCCACCAACAAACAGCAAAGCAAAATGGTAAGGTTGAACAGTTGGTACCAACTAATAAAATTAAAACATTATCTGGCACAAATTTTCAAGTTATCTAAGTACTAGAATTCTTCACAGAGTATACACATCAAGTGGCCTGAGAAAAAAGACGGAGTTAGTTTTCAACTTTCTCTTAGAAAATCCCATCATTTCCCACAAAGATGTTTTAAGAGCAGGAACTAAATATTTGGACAATGTTTTCTTACTCATAAATCAAAAAGCAGATAAAAGTTAGGAAAAAAGGTCACTGTCTCAATTAAAATTTAGTCTCATGTTAACATGAACAATTTACATCCAATGTTAACATAAAATTTTATTAAAAAAAAAAAAAACTTAAGAAGAATTAAAGGGTGGCCTAGTGGCAAGAAGCTGCACTACAAACCCAAAGGTGCACAGTTCAAATCCACCGGATGCTCCACTGGAGGAGGAGGGGCAATCTCTTCCTGTGCCAGTCAGATCCAGCTCGACAGTACACAAGGGAGAGGGGGGGGAGATGAAGAACTTGATAACCCAAATTTTTGTTGTGAGTAGAGAAAACACTGTACAACTTACGATATATTCTGTGGATTTCATCTATTTCCTTTTCTGTTTGGTCCTTTGTAAACACCATGATCTAAAATAAAATGGGAGAGAGAATAAAAATTTTTAAGACAAAAATGAAAATTAGTACTATAAATTTTAAAATGCCCTAAATGATATCTAACAAACAGAAAAAAAAATCTCTTCATCTCTGGTTTACATGGTTCAAGTAAAAATTAATTTTAGTTTACTTTTCTTGAATATGGTATTTTCACAATTAGGATAACATTTCATTCATCATTTTTTCCTATTACTAATAAATGTAATACTGACTCCATTATAATATATAAAAATTAATATCATGACTAAATTTCCTACTTCCATATTTATTTTTACACATTCATTAATTTAACAGATAACCCTACAAAAAAGGAAGCATCTGAAACACAAAAACTCAAACTCATTGCTGTTCAGAACAACTCCTAGCTGGCCCTCCATCAGGTTACCAAGACTGTAAATGACACAGGTAAATATTGCCCATCTTTCTCCCACGGAGCCAGAGTAAATTCAAACCACTAGAGAACAATTATACTTTTCCACTAATAAAGTAGCTGTCTCCTACTTTCAGTTTAATTTCTCCAAAGCCATATGAAAAGAGAAAAACAGAATAATGCAGGTGTACTGGATCAAATTTCTAGTTCTTTTTTTCATGTTACACATAAAGGATTACAAAACTATTCAAATGCTTTATTACAGCTCCCCTCTTATTGGTAGCACAGGTGATAAAGTAAATAGATTAAAAAAAATTTCCTATCATCTTGTTATAAATTTACTTCCCTAAGGTTGTTAACTCCCTCATAAACTCATGACCAATAGTCTAGAAATGAGTCTACTTGGGAGAGTTCTAAAAATGTTCTCCAGTAGCATAAGACACAGTGTCCACTTTATTGTTTAGTAATTTTTTTTCAAGTTTCTCTTTTTAAATTATTTTCTCAAAGATTTTTTGACAACTCATTCCTCAAGCTTTCATTAAGAAGGCAAGAGCAAGTTTTAGATCTCTGATTCCTGCAATAAGCTCAACTGAATACTCAATTCTCATAAATTCTTACAAAGTACTTTTCCATGGGAATAATCTTAAAATTGCAGAGTTTATCAGATCTGAAAATGGGCCTTGTTGCTGTTGTTAAGTGCCATTGAGTCGCAGGCGACTCATAGCAACCCTATGAAGGAGAGTCCTCAACGCTTGGGTGTCTTTCATCCTCTCTCCAGGTTCATTGGGTTTCCGGAGGCAAGCTATTACGGAAGTGGAAATGGGACCTTAGAGAGCATCTATTATAACCTCTTAATTTTATATAAGGTTCTAAAGAATCACAGATGTAGCTCAACAAATGTCCTCAGTAGAGTAAGAACCATCATTACCACTACCCGATGCACAAAAATATGTTTTCTTAGGACTCTTAAAACACTCACAAATTCTGAGGAGCTCTCTCAATATGTGTTACGTGTTGTGCTACCAAATGTCCAGCTGTTCAAATCCATGAGCTTCTCCTCAGAAAAAAGATAGATGGGCATATGCTTGAGGGTCACTATGCGTAGGACTTAGCCTGATGGCCCTTGGTTTTTGGGTGATTGTAGTAGAGCACTGAACTTTTCCTTTCTTTCAAGATACTGAAATAGATACTATCAACGTACAGTTTCATTCAGGTTACTGGCTTCCAGACGCATCCTAGTCATCTCTATATTTTCAATTTCTTTAACGATTTCCGCTTCTGTTAAAATTGAAACATAGTGAATGTTAATTTCATGATTTGATCATTATATTACAATTATATAAGTTATTGATTAAAGGGAGCTGGATGGCAAATGTAAGAACTCATTGCATTATTTTTGCAATTTTTTTAAACTGGTCTAATTATTTCAAAACAAAAAAGTTAAAAAGATAAGGAAATGTAGTTAAAACCATGAACTCTTACATATGCACAACAGTTCAAAATTTATCTAGAAGAGTAAATTCAAGGTCATTTGTTTCCTCTTTTGACTATGTAGGTGTAAACAGCAGTCCCGATGAGACATGGGATATAAGACATGAAAATTAACTCATTAGAGTGAGTTATATTCTTCAGGATTTCTTATGTACTCAATAACTACCTGGCCAAATGAATTTGTTCAAAAAACTGATAGAGCAGAATGTGGAAATTACTCAACATACTATTAATATTCCATGCAAGTAAAATCTTGCTGAAGATTATCCAAAACCCATCAAATATTAGGTCCAGATGAGCATCAGCTGTAAACTCTATACTCTTCCTGCGTTTCCGACGACTGGCTTCTTCACTCTGTCATAGCTCACAAGTTAACAAGATGGGGTCCTCACGAGCCCCTGCTCCTCAAGGCAGCAACATTTGTATCCTTATCCATGCATCCATCGATGCCAGGTCAGTAGTTGATAAAACATGCCCAAATACCACCTACCTCTTTATTGCCAGATGTTAACTTCTCACCACTGAACCAACTGGCTGCATTATGACAGATGGTAAAGAGACTAAGATTGTTAACAATTTTAGTTTGCTTGGCTCCACAATCAACCTTTTGGTACCAGCAGCCAGGAAATCAAAAGACAAATTGCACTGGGAAAGTCTGCTGTCAGGGACCTCTCCAGAGAACTGAAGAGCAATGACGTCAGTCTGGAGACTAAGGTGTACCTAATCCAGGCCATAGTATTCTCAATTAATTGCAATGAATCAGAAAGCTGGATAATGACTAGGGATGCCAGAAAGAGAATTGATGCTTTTGAACTATGGTGCTGGAGAAGAGAATGGAATACATTATGGACTGCCAAGAGAACGAATAGGTTCATCCTAGAGAGGGTGAAACAAGGCTGTTCCTTGGAGGCAAGGATTCTGAGGCTTCACCTGATATACTTACTACATGTTGCAAGGAGGGACCAGTCCTTCAAGTGGGAAATCATGCTTGGAAGGGTTGAGAGACAGAACAGGAGAGGAAGACCCGCAATGACATGGATGGATTCAGTGATTTACTTAACTTTTGTCTACTGTCTATAAACTACACAAAAATGTTCTATTAAGCAAACTAGCATGACCCACTTCTTTACTACTTTACCTGATTTAGGATGCAGAGAATCACACTGGGCATTGTACATATGTACAAACTCTTGATGTCTTTTAATAAGCTGTTGTCTATTTCCTTGAACAGATAATCCATGCTGTTTTAGCCTTTTCTTTAAGTCACGATCAGAGAGCAGGTTATACACAATTTTGGGAAGTGGCTTCCTTTTGTGACCAGAACTGAAAAGGGAAGGGAAGAACACAATTTTTAAGAAATTCACTTAAAATCATACTCAGGTTTGCCCATAATATATTTACAGCTGACCCTCCAGGGGGGTTTCCAAAGTTGGCCTTTCAGAGGCTGTAAATCACAAGGAAGGAAACTGTCAACGTTTAGTCTAAGAAACTGTTGTTGTCGCTATTGTTATCAGGTGCTTTCCAGTCAAGTATGACTGCTTCCCTGTGAACAACAGATCTGAATCCTGTCCTATGCTGTGCCATCCTCACAATCTCTAGAGCACACTGAAACCAACTGCTATAGTCACTGTGTTAACCCACCTAGGTGAGTGTCTTCTTTTCTGTTGTCACTCTGCCTTCCCAAATATGAAGTCCATCTTTAAGGAACAGCATCTCCTAGCAACATACTCAAAGTGAGCAAAACATTACCATCTTTGCCTCCTAGGAGCACCCTGGCTGCACCTTCTCCAAAACATATTAGTTTTTTTCATTTGGAACTCCATGAGATGTTTAATACTCCTCTCCAACATCATACATAGCTCAAGAGGCATCAATTCTTCAGTCACCATTATTCATTTTCCAGCTCTCAGAGACATAGCAAATATTCAAAAGACCAAAACCTGAGTTAGGCACACCTTAGTCCTCAAACTAATAACACTGCTCCTCAATATCTGGAGAAGACCCTGACTACAGACTTTCCCAGTGCAATACGTCTCCTGATCTCCTAACGACTGGTACCAAGTGTACTGTTTGTGGATCTAAATAAGATGAAGTCAGTAACAGTTTAAATCTTTTCTCCATCTATTATGATGTTGCCTATCTGTCCAGTGGTCCAATGTCTCTATTTTCTTGATGTTGACAAGATGCAATCCTGTATATGCTCACCAGTCTATGCCCAGAAATTTGGAGCACAGCTGCCTGGTTGACTAACTAGAAGAGATCCACATATGTTCCCATTCCCAAGAAAGGTGACCCAACAGAATGTGGAAAATATCTAACCATCTCATTAATACCATGCAAGCAAACTACTGCTGAAGAACATTTTAAAAAATGACTCCAACATTACAAAGACAAGAGAACTCCCAGAAGCTTAAGCTGGATTTAGAAGAGGCCATGGCACCTCAGATATCACTGCTGATAGCAAATGGATCTTGGATGCAAGTAGAAAGTAAGAGAGGAATGTCTATCTGTATTTCATTGACTCTGCAAAGGCACCTGGCAATGTAGTCCCTAACAAATTATGGCGAACACTGAAAAGAACGGGAGTCCCAGAACACTTGACTGTGCTCAACCTATACCTAGACCAAGAGACTGTGCAAATAGAGCAAGAGAACATTACACGGTTTAAAGCTATGCCAGGGTTATATGCTTTCTGCACAACTATTTGATCTCTATGCTAAGCAAATTATTCAAGAATCTGAACTCTATGAAGAAGGTGGTAGCATCAGTATTGGAGGAAGACTCAATAATAGTCTTCGTTACACTGATGAAACAACCTTGTTTACTGGAAGTGGAGACAATTTGAAAAGCTTGCTGCAAAATATCAAAGACTGCGGCCTTTAATATGGATTGCATCCCAACATCAAAAAAACAAAGATTCTCACCACTGGACCTTTTGGGTGGGACTATACAAATAAACTGTGTAAATCACTAAGATGAAAATGGTCAGTTTTGCCATTCCACCAAAATTAAACTGAAAGGTTGGAAAAAAGGGATCGGGTTACTACCAAGAAAGAAGTGCCAGAGTGTGCAGCTCATTTTGTGGACCCTTTTCAAACCAGAGATCAGGAGCTCTAACACCAGAGAGATGGCTGGAAACTCAAAGTGGCCTAAGACAAGATAGTGGCAGCAGTGGTTGCAGAAAGTAGGAGTCTGGTGTAAGACAGAGTTTTGGGCTTCTAGCCCATGGCGCAAAAAAGTGAGTGTTGGCTGATGGAACTGACTCCTTTGTCCATTTATCAAGGTTTGTCTGCAGATGCACAGAGCTAGAGGCAAATTCAGTTTAAAGCAGAGTTACTGGCAGAGAACACAATGCTCCTAGGCATAAAACTGGCAGAGCTAAAAGAGCTTGATAATATTTGTTTGAGCAGGGTAGAGGTCAAAGGTCAAAGAGAGATGCCAGCCTTTTAGCCAAAAGAACACTATCAATTCTGACCAAAAAATCATTCCCAATCCTAAAAGGTAACCTACTGCTTCCTTAATCATTCTCAAGAGTATTGTCTTTCAGTTCCGTGTCGTTACTGTAATGAAATCTGGTAGACAAGTGGTGACTGCTTTGGAGAAGACAATTGGCAGAAAATGTTTAAAGCACATCTGACCTCACTGGAAGCAGCTCTGTGTTGACTGATGATAAAGATGATTTGTTCCAATGTGTAACAAGGAAAAAAAAAAATTAAAACATTTCTATGTTAAAAAATAAAAAAATCTTACACTGTTAAGGAAAAAAAATTATCCATTCCTCTTCTTTAGTGAGGATCAGGCACTGCCATCTGCAAGCCCATATGTTATTTCCATAGGAAGAAATAAAACATTGCTTTTTTTTTTAATAAGGTAAAAAGATTTATTAGAAAGTTACATCACAAAGAAGGAGACCTCCCCTCTGGAGGGAAATATGAAAGAGAGGCCTAAACATTGCTTTTTAAAATGAAAGAGAATTCACCTTAACAAAAAGGTAACAAAACCTTGAGAACATCTTATAAAGAGGAACCTGTTAGCAGATTCTTCTTGTTACTGTTGAAGTAGAAGAACCAACTCATAGTTAACCCTCTAGCAAGTTCTGAAAGATAGTACATTGCACATGATGTGACTATTCATCTTTTTCCTCACAGAACAGCTAGTGGGTCTGAACCATATGCCTTTAGGAATGGAATGGCAGGGCAACTCTGTACATGAAGCCACCAGAGCTCCCAAATCCACTGTACCTTATTTCTGAATACAATGCTTAGCTTGTCCATGGTAATTAGGTATTTAATAAGGACATACTGAACGACCATTATGATTACAATCATATGAAAATGAGAATTATGATTAAAATCATATGAAAATGGTCAATTCTCAGTTTAAAACTGGTAAAAATTCAAAACTATTAAGATATATCCATATAATAAAGTTTTACAAATGATTTCTATATAGCTAATTCATGGAATCATTGTTGCTATTGTTGGTGGTAGAGCTACTGTTTAACATCAAGTAGGAACTGACCCATAATTGACCTTCCGGAAGGTTTTCAGAGGTTGTTAACTGCATGGGAGGAGATACTAATTTTTCTCCTGCCAAGCAGCAGATGCATCTGAACCACATGCCTTCAAAATTGCAACAGAGCTTCTTATCATCAGAGTTGTTAGGTGTCATCAAGCCCAGCAGAACTCACAGGTCAGATCCCTGCCCTATACTGTGCCATCATCATCAACTCTGATGTATTAGAGTCTAGTGTGACAGTCACTGTGTTAATCCATCTGATTAGACTGAGGCTCCTCTTTCTTTGATTCTCTACATTTCCAAGTATGAATCTATTTCCAGGGTCTGGCAAGTATGTGAGATGAAGCTTCAACCATCCTGGCCTCTAAGAAGCTGTCTGGCTATACTTTCTCCAAGACATACATATACATGTTTGCTCTTTTGGTAGTCCACGGGATATTCAGTACTCTTTCCAACACCACAACTCAGAGCCATCAATTCTTTTCTGTCATCCTTACTCATGATCCAACTTTCAGACCGCACTTGATGGACTTACATGGGAATCACACTGATTATATCGATGAAAGAATCAATGGAGAAATTCAGTACCAGTAGTCAAAAGCAGGCCAGATTCTGGCTGTGGAACATGCCCATCAATTATTCATGTGTAAGAGGCTTTGTTTGTCATATTTTGGGCATGTTTTAAGGAGGGACCAGTCCTGGGAGAGGGACATCATGCTTGGAAGGGTAGAAGAATGGAGAAAGAGAGGGAGACTATTGACTGATACAGTGACTGAGGTAGTAAGAGTAGGTGTTTCGGAGACAACAGTGTTGGCACAGAATAGAGCACGTTTCAGGACTGTTGTACAGAGGGTCACTATGAGTTGCAAATGACTCACCAGCACATAACAACAACTTCAAATTGAAACTGAAGAAAAGCAAAACAAACCCAAAAGTTCCAAAATATGATCTAAGTCTATCTCAACTGAACTGAAAAATCATCTTAACACATAAAGAGCTGAAATTAGGAAAGAATAAAGAAGAATCTACTTAGTGTTTCTCAAGCAGAAAGAAATTGAAAAGAAATTCAAGCCTCAAGTTCTAATATTGAAAGAAGCTATGGGCAAAATCTTAAATGATCCAAGAAGCATCAAAAGATGGAGGGAATACACAGACATACCAAAAAGAATGTGGTTGACATTGAAACATTTTAGGAAGTAACATATGACCAAGAACCAAAGGTCATAAACAAAGAAGTTCAAGTTCCACTGAAGGCATTGGCAAAAAATAAGGCACCAGGAATGGAGAAAATACCAACTAACATGTTTCAACAAACAGATGCAGCCCTGCATGTGCTTACCAGGTTGTGTCAAGAAATTTGGAGGACAGATACCTGCCAAGAGACTTCTGGAAGAGATGCATATTTGTTCTCCATTCCAAAAAAAGATGATGCAACACAATGTGGTAATTATTGAACAATGCATACAATTAGGAATAAACAATCCACACAATTAACTACACTCGTGGCCTAACTGTAGGGAGCCGCACTGCTAACCCAAAAGCAGTTATTCTCTGGTCATATGAAACCACCAGCCACTCCAGACGAGTCTTCCTCCAATCCTAACACCATATCTAAAGAGATGAACAGGGCATCAGTACATGCTGGTTTACAGGAAATAATATTCGAGATTATACATTTATTCTACATCTCAACTAAATAAGTAACCTAAAAACACCAAAGATAGATAGGTAACCTCTTATGCAATTTAAAACCTTTGAAAATCTTCCAGCAGTGGTTCTGATTCGATAGCAATGAGAGAGAATTCACGTAACGCTGTGCTTCTCAAAATCCACATCAACAGGAGAACTGTTTAAAATACATATTCTTAAGTCTCCTTTCCCATATCATTATGCTCCAGGTCTGAAGTGGATGCCTCAAATCAGTATTTTCAACAATGTTCCCCAGGGTAGGTCTGATGTAAGTGGCTCCAAGGCTGATTTTGTTCCTAGCTAAATTATTTCTTTTATGCTGTATTGATAAAGTTTATAAAAGCCAGAGATAAGTACTCTAATTGTAGAAAAGCCTGCAGTTCCTCAGATTATATTTTTCTGGAAAGTGTTCTTTTTTTAACAGCTCACTGAATTCTACAAGGCTTATAAATTATGGCTAAATAAAATCACAATAGGTACTAACAGCTGAATCATTTTGGAGGAGTTTATACAAACAGAACAAGCTATAATTCATTAAGTTCATATTCAAAACATTTTCTCAAGGACAGATGATTAAATTTATGACTGTGAAATTCTAGAGAAAAATTTTATCATTCACTGACATTTACACTGTAAAGTGCCATCAGAGATCGACAAGTGCCATGAAGAATTTTAAAATATGATACCTGATAAATATTTCCCAAACATCAAAACGGCATTGCTCTTTCTTCCACGACGTAGTGAAATTGAATAAATCACTTAAGGATCTGAAGATAGCAAGAGAAATAGAACACTCTTTGCATTTAACTCTGGCCTGAATCTATGGAATTGATAGAGGGTGTTTTCCGTAACTAAGAGCTTACCCATCAGGGTGAAAGACATTTAAAAACTGACAGAAAGTTAGACATGTAACAAGACCCTAGTATATGTCACAATGCTTGCCAAAGTGTGTCTTCACAAACACAAGTTTCTAAGATGTTAATACAATTTATAAGGATAAAAGGAGTTTATGATTAAATAAATTTAGGAATGACTAGCTTAGACACAATCCAACATTTCCTTTTAATGGAGGCCTTTTAAGGAGCCTTCAATGTGCTAGCTTGTATAATAAATTCCTTCTGAAGGACAGGACATATTACGCATATTTCTTTGTCGCACTACAGAGCAAACAGCAAGACTAGTGTGTCCAATGGTGCAAGATTTGGGAATCTTTATTGGCATTTATACTTAAACAAATAAAGAAGTATGTAAGAAGAGGAAATTGGGAGAACTAAATGTGTTAGAAGAAGTATGACAGAAAAAGAACTCAAGAAAGATTATCAGTGATATTTCTTCTTTTGACAAAGAGAAAATGCTAAATTCTTCAGGAAGAAACATTTCTGAAGAGCTGATAAATTCATGAGACTATTCTGCTTTATAGGATATTATCCTTGGGATTATACATTTATTCTCAATCTACTAAGTAATCTAAAACTGTAGAGTTTATTCTCATAAACAAACTTACTCACGAGGACTGAGTATAAGATTTTCTCCAGGTTTCAATGAAGGTATGTTCCCTAAAGTAAGTAAGTAAGTAAGTAAGTAATTCACTGAGTTTTATATATATAGTTTTTATAAATTCTACTTTTATGTTAGTTCCTCAGAATCTGCACTCACTCTGATTATTTAAAAGTTCATATAAAAGATAAAAGTGATATATTTTTAACTTTAATCACAAAGTTGTTTTTTTAAAATGGCCCTGCTCTACTAACACAGACATTTCTCCTTTTATTGCACTGTGCAGATACAGCAGAGTTTGTGTTTTGTTTCATTGGTTTGTATTTTTGTTTGTTGTTGTTTTGTTGTGTATTTTTCCTCCACATATTAAAGATTTGAGTCAATCTGCTTGATCCCCAGCACAAATCTGTCTTGGAAGAAGTGTAACCAGGGTGCTCTTTTAGAAGCAAGGATGGTGAAACTTCGTCTCACATACTTTGGGCATGTTCTCACAAGAAGCCAGTCCTTGGAAAAGACATCATACTTGGAAAGGTGGAGGGTCAGACAAAGAGAAGAAGACCCTCAATAAAATAAACCCTCAATAAACTAACACAGTGACTACAACAGGCTTGAGTATGACTGAGATTGGCACAAGATAGGACAAGGTTCAAATCTGTTGTTCTCAGGGTTGCTGTGAGTTATAGTCAACTCGATGGTCCCTAACAAGAGCAAAGTACAATCACAAAGTCTATTATCTACATCACTCTTCCAACAGTATATACTCACTTCTTGTTTGTGTTGTATTTTGGTAATTCTCACATTATTGCAAACTTTTTCATCATGTTACTGCGTACCATAGACTATGTTGTTGTTGTATGCCATCAAGTCGCTTGTGACTCATAGCGACCCTATGTACAACAACCCTAAACCCTGCTCTGTCTTGCGCCAATCACACTGTCTCCAACACACCCACCCTGATTACACCAGTCACTGAATCAATCCATCTCATAGAAAGTCTTCCCCTCCTGCACCATCCCTCCACCCTCCCAAGCATGATGTCCCTCTCCAAGGACCAGGCCCTCCATACTCAAGTGACCTGATTTAATTCTGTGATCTGGAATTAGACTTGCAATATCTCAATATCAAAACTATGGTGTTTGACAAATACTCTTCTAATACTTCAAAGTTGTGAAACACAAGGGCTCATCATTCTCTCAAATACCATCAATTTCTTCAGCTTTCTTTCATACTACTCAAAATTTCTGTTCGATTACCTATCTTATAATCTATCTTGTATCAGAATAAAAATCCTTCCAGTACACCAAGGATAACCTAAATCCATGCATTCAATCTCTTGTGCTCCTAACCTGGTTTCATGTCTCATCTACTTTCTTTGTGGAAACAGTGACAGGAATGTGAATGAAGGCTTAAGGGGATTTAGTTCTAAGAGCCTCATGTCATGTTTGAAGTTGCTCAAGGTGTCCAAGTCATGGTAACCCTATGCTACACTTGGAGCAAGTTGTGGTGCTAGGTGATCCCAAGTTGCTGTGCTGCAGTCCCAAAGGCACACAGTTCAAGGTCATCAGCTGCTCCAAGGAAGAAAGATGGGCGATTTCCTCCTGTTTAATTAACTGCCTCTGAAAACCCACCAGAGGGTCAACTACGGATTGGTTCTGAAACTATGGTACACAACAACATTTCATGTTAAGTCAAATTTTATAAGCTGTTCAAACATTTGATATCATTAATTGTATCTGGCAAACTGGGAGTTGAGAGAGGAGAGGGAATAGAAGACCTAGTCAAGAGAGTTGAAGGAAAAAGCGAGGAGGAAAGGAAATATGGCAGCTGGCTACTGGGGGGATAAACAAATGCTGATTTCTTTTTCAAGTTTATAAAGCACAAGAAGCATCTCCAAAGTAGCCAAATGGTTCTGCTTAACTTCTTACCTTCTGAGGCTTTCTTTCTTTTCTTCACGTGATAAACAGCTGTCTAAGTGCCGGTTAATATGATTTTCTGAAACACTAACACCACAAACAGGACAGTCCACTATCATTTTTCAAAAGAGAAAGAAAGACTTTATTATTTGTAGAAAGGGGCAAAATAATATAACCTTCATCAGAAATGAAGTTTAAAAAAAAATCCGACAGAATCTGAACCTTAACATGCACTTAGAAAAGCCCAGTTGTGGGGTGGGGGGGTGCAGTGGTGGTGGTAAGGAGAACAGAGAGTGACAAGAGCTGGATAACTTGGTAAACAGGTGACGGTTAAACAATTAGAATTCTAGGCCCAGAGAGGGGAAAACTCCAATAAATCAATAGGAAATGTCATTGCTTAGATTTTTTTTTAACCAAAGTATGACCAGACTCTAAGGCTAATTTAAAATTTTCCCTAGCCTTAGATGCCCGCTGTGTTTAACGCAGCAGTAATCATAACCTTGTTATAGAAGAGGAGGGAGAGGGGAGGCCAGGCAGAACTATATTAAGGCGTTTATAGGATTAAGCCAAGTACTGTTCAATGTTGTTACAAATTCATTTATTTAGATTTCATTTGTAACTGCAAATATAATGTTAATTTTAAATGCGCAGCAGTTCTCAAATAGTCTGGCAGAGTTGTAAAAATCTGTGGAATGCCTCAGGGTAACAGTCACCATGGATAATGGGTAGAAATTGAAGAAGTAGGAGGTCAAGGGCAATGGTGACTGACTAGGAGAACTTTCAAGTTCTACAGGGGAGACTAGGTTTGATTTTTAGCCTGCTAGTGTGATGTGATACAGTTTTCTTTCTACCACAGGTATGCATTCAGATATCTTGGTTTTAATTTGGTTGGATTTTTTTTTTTAAATCTATTGTGTTTTATCTTACTTGTCTGGTTTTAGATTTGCATGGGCTTTGTATAAAGATCTTGGAATGTGTAATCCATAATTAAGGTTTAGGATTAGATTTTTGATTACACATTCCAAGACCTTTTAAAAAATATTCATTATGCTTCAGTCTGCCTCAACAGATTAATAAATTTAACAGTCTAATGCCATAAAGTGGAAGCCAGAGTGACATCCACTTCCTAAACAACATGCCTCTGGAAATTCCATGAACTTTGAGAAACAACGATAGTTATTGAAAGACTTCAGGCCTTTTGTTCATAGGGTAGCTATGTGTCCTGTTCACCTCGATGGTAATCAACAACAACAACTGTGATGAATAGGTTTCAGAGGAGTTTCTAGACTAAGAAAGTCTAGGAAGGCCTAGCAATTTATTTCCCAGAAAATAAGTCCATGAGGATTATAACAGCCTAATTCCATTGTGCAAGGGATCACTATGAGTTGGGGCTGCCTCAATGGCAACTAACAGTAAGAATAATAAAGAGGAAGTCAGGTGTAACAGCACTGTATCTAACACTTCCACTTCTACTTTAATGGAACATTTTATCACTTCACCATGGAAGATTTCATTTGAAAAAGGGTTGTTAAAGATAAAAGTAAACTAACTATCCATCTCAAAGCACTGCAGTAAGAATGAACTGACCAGTGGCAAAAAAGTCTGAACAAGGACAAATATGCTAACAAATAAGAGTAAAATTTGCAAATCATTATTGATTTAAGCAGTTAAATCCTAAAGGTGAAAAATTATTAAGGTGAATAAGCAGAAAGCCCTGCACTATATGGGCAACAGGGTACTAAAAATGTTTCTGTTTCTGCCTAAGAGGTGTTCAGAGCATAACTGCTGAAACAAGACATGGAAAAACAAAGTTACATAGCAATCACATTCATGTGGTAAGCAAACTGCATAAAGAATGATGCCAGAAACACACTGCAGTGATGTGAAAAAAAAACAATGTTATCAAACATAACCAAAGAAAGGCTAGGCATCTGCATAAAATCAAGGTGTAGAACACTGTTAACAGACATTGTCAGAAAAGTGGAATAGTTCTTTTTCTGACCCATAGTGATCTGACCTGATGCGACGAAATAAAACTGCTCCTCTAAGTTTTCTTGGATATAATCAGAGCTAGGCCTTTTCCCATCAATGTGTTGGGTGGGCCTTTCTGTTAGTATATGAGTGCTTAACTGTTGTACCTCCAGGGCTCAGGGCTCCATTCATTAAGAAGCAATAGCAAGTATTTTAGACCTTGTATTCCCTATGGTTTCCTATTAAACTCTGCCCCAATAGCTAGAAAGTAGCCACAGAAAATAAGTAAACAAATGTAAGTGGCCTTTTGCCTTATCTCCTTTCTTTTTTTATTTTTTGTTTTTTTGTTTGTTTGTTTTGCCTTATCTCCTTTCAAGGGGGAAGGCCCATCCCTTTGGGGCTATAACTTTCTAATACATCTATCATAACTATTTCCCCTCAAAACAAACAAAAAACATATGTGGCCTTTACTTACTAAAGTAGATGGCAAGCCAGATTTAACCCAAAGACCATAGTTTGTCAATCATTTCAAAAGTTTAAATTAAAAAAAAAAAAGTTTAAATTTAAGTATAAACTTGAAAATATTTATACATAGAGTATAAAAAAACAACGGGGAAACTGGTAGCCACAGCAAGCTTTTTAGAGGGAAAGCTGGGAAATGTCATAAGTAGGAGACAAATGAGCAAAGTCTTTAAATGTGAGCATGCAAAAGTTGGACTTGATTCACAATGCACTGGGGAACCATTGAAGGCATTTAAGCAGTGGCAAAGAATGATCAAAACAGCACCTGAAGATTAAACCAGAAAACTGGAATGGTTAGACAGGATAAGACGAGTAGGGAGGGAGGGCTAAAAGCTGACAAGTAAACAAGAATGCAATACTCAAGTGTAAAATAAAACTCATGCAGCAATTGACTTGGATTCTTTAAGAAAGGGGGGTGGGGACTTCCCTATAAGCACAATCCAGGTCAATCGCTGGGACTGTGACTTGGTGAAATCTGGAGTTCCCTTTTCCCTCCTTTTTCTCATCCTTTATCTTCCCCGATGCTCATTTACTCCTGTTTTATAGGGAAGATTTCCATTAAGAAAATACAAATGGAAACGTATTTTCCTACCTTTAGTTACGTGTTTCAAAGTGGATGTAGAGGGTGTCACTGGAATAATACCTGAAGGCCCTGGAGCTGCATCTTCTACAGAAGGTGTCTCTTTTATCTTTGCACAAGTGTTCCTCTTTTCTTGATGGCTGAATTCACTTTTGTTTTCTTTTGGCAATAATTTTGATGTAGAACCACCAATTTCTCGGGTCAAGAAATTTTGCTTTAGAGAATGTCTGAAGTCAAAAGGAGTATGTGCTTTAGCAGTATGGTTCTTTGAAGAAGAGGAAGCAAGAGACAATGTGGGTGGTGACTCTGGTGACTTGAAGGCAAAGTGCAACAGGTGATTCCTTCAAACACAAAGGACACGACAGACAATCAAAATGTCAAATGAGCTACACTGTTTTTCCAATTAACACAGTCTGATGAAACACTGCACTTACTCAGTGATAAGAACCAAATAAAAGTAAATTTTTCTAGATAAACTACAACTCACTACAATCAAGTAAGAACTGACTCATAGCTGACCCTTCAGCAGGTTTTCTGAGGATAAAAATCTTAAAGGAGGAGATTGTCCACCTTTCTCCTTCAGTCACTGGTGGATTGAAACTGGTAGAATCTTAAGGTTAGTTAGCATCACAACATCCCTACAAACTACAAGAGCTCCCTATCTAACTTAAATAGGAGTGAATGCATCTATAAAAGAAAATGGACCTACTTTATGTTCTGGCCATGAAGAACATTTAATGATCTGATTTATTCTCTAACCACAAATACCTGTAAATTCTGGCTAACACCAACTGTTAGAGAAGAGAGCCTACTGCCTTTGCTACTAAGCTTTCTCTCCCAGTCCCAGTCCAGGAGTGCATGAATCACAGGTTTCCCACAGAAACCCAGAGCCTGAAGGTCTCTGCTGCCATTACTGGTGAGCTTGCCCCCTGACCCTGACCCCAGGCCCAAAAGCACACAGCCCACAGGCTTCCCACCCTAAAGTTAGCCTGCTGCCTTTGTTGCTGAGCCAGCATTTCCTCGTCTGGTCCAAGAGCATGGCAATGGCAGGTCTCTCACTGAAGCCTGGAGGCCACTGCTGAGACCTATTAAGAAAATCACCCTCAGCAAACTGATATAATAAAGACAATAGCAACTACTCACATCGACACAACAGGAGCTACCTCATATATACCAAAACAATGCTACATAATGTCAAGGAAAGAGCAGGCAGGATCAAACATTATGAAAAAGCAGAAAACACCTTGTAATAAAAAGTAGACCGACCAGACTGAGAATTCAGTGAATACACTGGAGACTGGAAGGCAGAAGGAATACACACTTTTATGGAGTTCTAAGAATTAGTACTGAAGAAGTTACAAATTATGGAAGAGAGAAATGAAATCATTGGTAAAGAGATGCAAGAATTTAAAACTCAATACAAGACAGAAAGGGTACAACCAACACAGTACTAGAAAAACTCGAATACCATGAAAATGCAAATTGGAATACTAAGACCAATATTGAGGAAATCATCAATATAGAACAAATAAACAGGATAGAACAGATGGAACAGAGATTCAGTGAAATAGAAGACAAAAACCATAATGAGACCTTGTTCTTGTTGTTATGTGCCATCAAGTCACCTGTGACCCATAGTGACCCTATTTATAGTAGCTCTGAAGCCTGCCCTGGATTCTAAGTGTGCTCTACTGTTCATAGAGTTTGCGAAGGCCTGAATTAAGACCTTACTACAAAAAAATTAACAAAGACAAGATGGAAGGAAAATTAAACTGGCAAAGAGATGGTGAAACTGTAACTATATGTAGACAATAAAATAGTGTACACAAAAAATATCAAAGACTCAACAAAAAACCTGTTAGCCATAGTAGTAAACTAATTCAGGAGAGTGACAAGCTGTAAGTTCAAAATACCAAAAAAAAAAAAATCATTTGGATTTCTCTACAGCAACAAAGAAAGCACAGAATAGGAAACAAGAAAAGCAAGACCACTTACAATTGCCAACCAAAAGATGAAATACTAGGAAAAAACACAAAAGACCTTTATAAGGAAAACTATAAAACATTACTATAAGAAACAATAAGAGATCTAAATAAATGGAAAAAATTATTCCCTCTTCATAGATGAAAACACTCAATATTGTGAAAATGACAATCCTACCAAAAGCAATCTACAGGGTGAACACAATCCCAATATAGATACCAAATTCATTTTTAAAGGAGAAAGAAAAGGCAATTTCCAGATTAGTCTGGAAAGGAAAGAGACCCTGAATAAGCAAAGCTCTTGCAAAAACCAAAAAGTAAGAGGTATCTCACTCCCTGATCTCAAAACATACTACACATTTCTTTAACATAGTAAAAAGTATATATGCAAACCCGAGAGCCAACATTGTTCTCAACGGAGATTAAAGGCATTCCCTTTGAGAACAGGAACTAGGCAAGGAGGCCCACTATCACCTCTGCTATTCAATATTGTATTGGAAGTCTTAGCGATTGCAGTAAGACAAGAGAAGGAAATAAAAGGTATCGAAACTGGCAAAGAAGAGGTAAAATTATCTCTATATGCCGATGATATGATAATATACTTAGAAAACCCAAAATATTCAGCAAGAAAACTACTGGACATAGTTGACCAATTCAGCAAAGTAGCAAGATACAAGATCAACAGATAAAAATCAATTGGATTTCTCTACAGTGACAAATACAGAGCTGGAGCTAGGAAAAACAATACTCTTTACAATAGCTAATCACAAAAGTAAATAATTGGGAATAAATCTAACCAGAAATACAAAGGATCTATTCAAAGAAAATTACAAAGCATTACTACAAGAAACAAAAAAAGACCTGGAGAAACAGAAGAACATATCTTGTTCATGATAAGAGGACTCAATATTGTGAAAATGACAATACAACCAAGGGCAATTTACACGTTTAATGCAATCCCAATACAAATACCAATTCCATTCTTCAATGATCTAGAAAAGGCAATTTCCAATTTTATTTGGACTGGAAAGAGGCCCCAATAAGCAAAGCACTCCTTAACATTGCCGCAAATGACAGCAAATGTGCTTCTAAGCACAGTCATCAATTTTAAGTGTGGGGCAACATGTTAAAAAGAGAAAACAAGGTAGGAGGCATCTCCCTAATTTCTTTTCTTCCTTTTTTTTTTAATTAATTTTAATAAACATTTACAGAGATTTTGGATTTCCATTCATTCATTGCCACACTTTTCTCCCTGCCCACCAGTTTGCTCCCCTCTCCAAAAAGAAAAAGAAAAAAAAATTCCTTCATTGGTATACAATTCCCCCATCCCTTCCCCCCCATGCCCCATCCCGAGTGCACTTCTCTATGCAACCTTAATTCTGAATTCCTGTGCTAACCATAATACTCAATCATATATTGCCTCTAATCTGTTCTTTCCCTCATCTGTTTCAATACAGTATACATAATTTATCCAGTTTTTTATCAGTCTTACCCCAACCCTGATGTCAGACCCATTCTACAACAGTGGCACTATGCAGTATTTGTCCCTTTGTGACTGAGATATTTCACTCAGCATAATGTCCTCCAGGGTCACACACTATGAATAATATTGCATGAGTTCCTTGTTTTTCAGTGCAGCGTAGTATTCCATTGTGTGAATATACCACAGCTTCTGTATCCATTTGTTTGTTGATGGGCACTTAGGTTGCTTCCAACTCTTTGCTATTGTAAACAAAGCTGCAATAAACATGGGTGTGCATATATCTGTTTGGATGGCAGTTATGGTCTCTCTGAGGTATACTGCCAGTAATGGGATTGCTGGGTCAAATGGTATCTCTATTTGCAATTTTTTTAGAAAGTGCCATACCGCTATTCACACGGTTGCACCATTTTACATTCCCACCAACAGTGAATAAAAGTTCCAGTTTCTCCACATCCTCGCCAGCATTTGTTGCTTGCTGTTCTGTTAAATTTTGCTATTTTTTACTGGGGTGAGATGATATCTCATAGTTGTTTTGTCTCCCTGATTTCAAATCCTACTACAATGCCATGGTGGTCAAGACAGAATGGTACTTCCAAAATCTCTGTAAATGTTCATTAAAATGAGTAATTTTTTTTTCTTTTAAAAAAAAAGACAGAGTGGTACTGGTACAATGACAGACACTTAGATCAATGGAATAGAATTGAAAACCCAGAAATCAGCCCATCTACCTATGGTCAACTGATTTTTGACAAGGAGATGGAATCAGTTAAGTAGGGAAATGACAACCTTTTTAACAAACGGTGTTGGCAAAACTGGAAAACTCTCTGTAGAAAACTCAAGCATGATCCACACTTCACTCCATACATAAAAACCATGTCAAAGTGGATCAAAGACCTAGGACTAAAACCATTAGAGAAAAGCTTGGAAGAACTCTAGAAGCCCTAATCCACATAATGAACAGTCTTCCAAGCATCATGAAAAACCTGCAGCCAGAAGAAGATAAAATAGATAAATGGGGCCTTCTAAGAATAAAAGCCCTATGCACATCCAAAAAGTTCTCCAAGAGGGTAAAAAGGGAAACCACAAACTGGGAAAATGTATTTGGTAATGACATGTCTGATAAGGGACTTACATTTAGAATTTATAAAATACTCAAGCACAACAACAAAAAGGAAAACAACCCAATTGAAAAATGGGCACAGGATATGGACAGACACTTCACCAAAGAAGACATTCACATGAAGAAATGTTCAAAATCCCTAGCTCTAAGGGAGATGCAAATCAAAACTATGAGATTTCATCTCACTCCAGTAAGAAGAGCAAAATTTAACAGAACAGCAGACAACAAATGCTGGCGAGATTGTGGAGAAATTGGAACCCTTATTCACTGTTGGTGGGAGTATAAAATGGTGCAACCACTATGGAAGGCTGTACAACGCTTTCTCAAAAAGTTGCAAATAGAAATACCATTTGACCCAGCAATTCCACTACTGGGAAATACCCTAAAGAAACCAGAACTGCTACTCAAGGAGATATACGCACACCCATGATTACTGTGGCTTTGTTCACAATAGCAAAGAGCTGGAAACAACCCAAGTGCCCATCATAAAAGGAATGGCTAGAGAAGCTTTGGTATATTCACAATGGAATACTATGCTGCACTGAAAAAGAAGGAATTCATGAAATATACAAAATGGGCGACCCTGGAGGACATTATAGTGAGTGAGATATCTCAATCACAAAAGGATAAATATTGCATAGTTCCACTGTTCTAAAGCAGGTCTGATATCAGAGTTGGGGAGAACCTAAGAGGGGTTAAATAATGTATACTGCATTGAAGTAGACGAGGGGAAAACATGATTAGGTATTATTGTCA